CCCTCATAGACTCATTAGATTTTTCTTTCTACAAAAGAGCCGATGCCAAGAAATGGCCAGCTGGCTATGAAATTCCAAAGAGAGAGATATCCTGTGATGGCATGGACTTCACAGTGAAACTTTTTGGTCAACTGCACCAACTATTATCAGCCTAAGTTTCTGATCTAATTAATCTACATATTATATGCTATTTACATTTAAACTTTATTGTAAGGGTCCTATAATGTGAGCATGTGTGTGTATGTGTGTGCATATTTTATTGAAAGCCACTCTCAAGAACACACAGTGGTAACTATTACTAGTGATAACAATGACCTGAAGCAGTTGTTTTAGCCAATTATGGTTTTTACCAGAAATATAAGGACACCAAAATGATTTTTCCCCGATCACTCATTTACTTATCCAATAATTATTTACTCAGTACTTCCTTTATTCTACATATTGTCAAAAATGCTGGATAAACTCAAGTTATATAACACCCTCTCCCCAACCCAATTTCCTCCTTTAATTTTATTTTTTGAGGAAGGAGAGGGTAATGGAGCAAGAAAACAAAACAAAATAAAAAAAGGCTAGGAAAGCTTCTCTGTAGCAAAAATACTCCATTCTGATTATATTAGCTCAGAAATCGTGGGTTGGGAAGGGAAGTTTCCTTTTCCTTCCATATATGCCTCTCTAAAAACTTGTGAAAGATTTCAACACATTTGATTCAATTTAAAAAATGTATAATTTAAATTATTTAAAATATTTTCTTAGATATAATTTTATGCAGGACACTAAAGTAGTAATCACTAAAGTAATTTATCTCAAATATATGTTTATTCGTTTACCTAAAATATGTAAAATTATAAAAATGCAAATAACAGCAACCTGTAAAACTCTGAGCATTCTGTCTTGACAGGCCAATATTGGTACAATACGAGGTAATCTTTCCACTGGAAGGCAGATGACATCATTGATTTTATCCCCACAAAGGTAATAATGTTGGTCTTTGCAGTCACAGTAATGGTTATAGATGTAACTTGCGCTGAGAAAGAGGTCTGAGCCAGATATGTGCCTGAGAACATTAAAATAGTAATTTAACACAACCATATTTCTGAAAAGAAGCACAAGTAACTCGTGAATTTTTTTCAGAGATTAAATCAAAAGTTTATTTACATAGTTTACTATCATTGTATCACAGACTTAGAGAACACAATTTATTTTCATTTCCCCCAGTTAATTTCTAGCCTTTTGGGTTTAACACTGTTTTCAATTTTGAAAGCTGAAAATCTTAAGGCCTCAGGCTTCTCAATAAAAGCTGAGCTCAGAAAAACTGAAAACAAAGACAAGATAATAATAATTTAATTGTCTATATCTGAAAACAATTGTCAAAAGGTAACTTTTTTGCACACTATGTGCCAATCACTGTCCTAAGTGATTTACGTGTATTAGCTCAATTAATCCTCATAACTCTATAAACCAGGGACCATTATTATTCCTTTTTACAGGTGAATAATAAAATGTTAATTAACTTGCCTACTGGCACATAACTAGTAAGTAGTAGACTGGTTGCAACTCAGGTAGTTTTTAGCTCTAGAGTTAGGTTTTTTTTGAGACAGGGGTCTCCCTATATTGTTCAAATGAACCTCCTGCCTCAGCTTCCCAAGTACCTGGGACTATAGGTGTGTGCCACTGCACTTGACTTAGAGTTAGCTTTCTTACTGCCACACTAACTTGACCGGAAAAGTCTATTTGAAGTGAATCTACCTCAAATTAAATAAAAAACAGTAGAAAAAATGATTTTATTAGAACTTTATCTTGAAAAACCATGAAATCAAGTTCATTTCAAATTATATTTAACAAAATTTAGGCAATACACAACTATGTTCTAATTCTTAGACTGAATCAAGTTTTCACTTGGGGAAGCTGAAATTTTTGGACAAAAGTTATATACTAGTATATCTTTCACTTCTAGATTTCTATCACCATATGATCCAAAAGAGGGTAATTTTATTTAAAGGTTTCATCTGTTCCTCCACCTCCAAGCTCTATTTAAATTTTTTATATTAAAGGTATTCTTTGAAAAGCTTATCCTATAATGATTTTCACTCATGTTTCTCTTCAGTTATTAAGTGGTCTCACTTTGTGGCTCTGCATATGATTGATTAGTTTTCTTAATATTTTTTATTGGCCTCATGAAATTCTTTATCTGTTTCAAGATTTGCAATTCCATTTTGAATAAATCTGCATTATGTTTGCATTATATTGGCCAAAGTACTATTTAGCAATCACTGTTGTTGCCAAGAGTGGGGACAGATGGCAGCATTAAGCAAGGAAGGATGTGTGATGATCAACGATGTAAGTGGTCAGTTTCCTTACTCAGTATTTTCAAGTTATAATCTTTGTTTTCCTATAAAACTTTATAAATGTGGGGATTCAGAAAATCAGTTTTCAAAAACTAAGTAAAGAACTTTTCTATCCCACCTCTTCCATTCCAATAAAAACATTTAAGAAACTATTATAGTTAAAGAAACTATTACTGGGAAACTCCTTATCTTCCTCATACCATTATTCACATACCTCTCTGAATATATTAATATATTACTTTGATTTTAGTATTTCACAATTATCATTGGCCATGTCTATCTACAAGAGTATTTCAGAAGTGTCACATTTTTGTTAAACCACTTGAAATTACATACTTCTACTTCCAAACAAGCGAAAGTTTACAGCCCAAACATCAGGAGATGTGCTGTGCATTACACAGAACTCCAGACTGAATTAGTAGTTTCCAGACCCAGGAGTCTGGTTGCTTATACAGTTGGCTGCATCAGATTCAAATGAAGAACTTTAAAAACAAAAAAAACACTCTTGATTATACTGATTCAGCAGGTATGAGGAGGTGCAACAAAGAATCAATTGTTTAAGCATCCCAAGGGATTTTCCTAAGTAGCAGGTTTGAGGAACGGTACGAGATGAACTTTAAAGCCCTTTCCAGCTCCCCATGATTCAAAAACTAAAATTTTAATTGCAAAATTTCACATATCAGGAAGCCATTAAGGGAGCTATTTTTCACTTAGAGTCTTACTTACCTGATTCACCCGAAATTATACCCTATTGGTAGTCACCAACTTTTGACAGCCAGCTTTTTAACATAATGATGCTACCTCAAAACCAGAACTACCAAAGATAGCCAAGGAACACGAACCTAAATATCTAGAGATTTCTCTCAATTTTTTCTCCATACCTTGATCAAGGATCATAACTGAACTGAGTAGTCAAAAATGAATGTATAAATACTGTAAGGTTCTTAAAAAGAAAACAACATTTTAACAACCAATCAATTTTATATTGATCCTAGGTCAAATTTAGTTTCTAACTAATACCTTTAGTAAATTTTATTTTCCAGAAAATCTATTAAGATATGATACTTAATCAGATGCCCTACGTCTATCCAAAATATTGTAAATATGTAAAAATAAAAAAAATAAACATACATAGCTTTAATGCTTTCAGTGAGGTTTGTTTCAAAAGAGAGGAACTGTTTTCCTCTCTTTGTGAAGCCTCTAATCTCAGATCCCGCAGCAATAAAAATTCTCTCCTGCGGTGTGTTAAGAACCCCTCCTAGTTCCAGCCTTGCAATCTTCTGCCCCGGTAAAGTCTTGAACACTGCCTGCAAAAATCATTTTGGAAAAAATTACACAAATTATCTTATTGTAAGCATTTTCTTTTACCATAAAAAAAATCCTGATTTTAAACTTACAAAATATTATAGTTCTACTACATAAAAACAACTTTAGATAATAATCTATTTAGTGGGTTTTCAGGTATTTTGCTAAATATCCTTAAACTTTCGACTAGATATTCCCATAAATATAATATTTTTATTACATCATTGAAGTCTACACTCTTACAAATCAAAGTAGGGTTCACTAAGTAGCAATATTAGCATCACTAAATTTATTAAAAATGTAGAATATAAGGCTCAACCTTAGATCAACTGAATGAAAATCTGAATTTTAACAAGATTCTCTAGCTTGTTTATTGCATATTAAAATTTGAGAAGCACCCAGCTTAAACAATACTCCTATCAACAGGGAAGTTCACTTGGCAAATTCTTTAGGTCCAATGAACATGTTTTTACACTTCAATCAACTTTTAAAACTAATCTCTCCTGGCATTTCAATATTTATAAATTTTAATATTTGAGGACTATAGAATTTACTGAAAATGTGAATGTATAACTTAATACCTATAATCATGTATCTCTTTATTTAACTGAAAACAACATTTTTATTTATTTATTTATATTTTTATTGAGACAGGGTCTCACTCTGTTGCCTGGGCTAGAGTGCAATGGCGTGATCATAGCTCACTACAGCTTCAAACTTCTAGGCTCAAGTGATCCTCCTGGCTCAGCCTCCTAAGTAGCTGGGACTATAGGTAGCTACCACCATGCCTGGCTAATTTTTTATTTTTTGTAGAGACAGGGTCTTACTATGTTGGTCTTGAACTCCTGGCCTCAAGCAATTCCCCTACCTTGGCATCTCAAAGTGCTAGAATTACAGGCATGAGTCACAACGCCCAGACTGAAAATAACATTCTTATCGTTATTTTTTTTCTTCGTTATTTTCCATTTTATTATTTGCACCAGTTTCTTTCCTTCCCCCACCAAAGACTTCATACAGAGAATAAAATATCTGAAAGAATATATGAATAATGGAAACATTGGGTTTCTAGTAGTTTTTACTCTTCATCTTTTTGTAAACGCCATATAATATACAATGAATATTAGAGTTCACACTGCAGACCCACCACTTGTAAACTATGACCTGTGAATATGATGCTATAATAGTAATCACTTCCTTGATTAGGTTACATTAAGTGGTAAAAGTGGTGGATAGTCACTTCCATGATTACCTTATGCTATATAAGGCTCCATCTTAGAAAACTACAGATTTTCCTGCTGGCTTTGAGGAATTAAGTTACCCTATTGTGAGACGAACTGTGAGAGGACCACATGGCAAGGAACTGTAGAGACCTCAAGGAGCTGAGAGCAGCCTCTAGCTTATAGACGGCAATAAAGGCACCACAGTCCTACAACAGCAAGGAACTGATTTCTGCCAGCAATCACATGAGCCTGGAATAAAACCCCATGCTCTAGAAAAGAATATAGCCCAGCCAACACCTAAGTTATAACCATGTGAAACCTTGAGCCCAGACTTCTGAACCACAGAAACTGTCAGATAATAAATGTGTGTTGTTTTAAGCCCCTAAATTTGAGGTAATAATGTTACACTAGGCCAGGAGTGGTGGCTCACGCCTGTAATCCTAGAACTCTGGGAGGTCCAGGCAGGAGAATTGCTTGAGCTCAGGAGTTCGAGACCAGCCTGGGCAAGAGCAAGACCCTGTCTCTATCAAAAAATAAAAATAAAAATAATAATAATAATGTTACACCAGCAGTCCCCAACCTTTTTGGCACCAGGGACCGGTTTCATGGAAGACAATTGTTCCACAGACCTTGGCGGGGGCAGGGGGGATGGTTTTGGGATGATTCAAGCACATTACATTTATCGTGCAATCAAACCTCTCTGCTAACGATAATCTGTATTTGCACCTGCTCCCCAGTGCTAGCATCACTGCCTCAGCTCCACCTCAGATCATCAGGCATTAGATTCTCATAAGGAGTGGGCAATCAAGATCCCTTGCATGCACAGTTTGTAGTAGAGTTTCTGCTCCTACGAGAATCTAATGCTGCTGTTGATGTGACAAGAGGAGGAGTTTATGCAGTGATGTAAGCAGTGGGAAGCTACTGTAAATACAGATGAAGCTTTGTTCACTCTCTTGTCGCTAACCTCCTGCTGTATGGACCAGTTCCTAACAGGCCATGGACTGGTACCCATCCTCAGCCCAAGGGTTGGGGACCTCAGTGTTATACAGCATGGAAAACTAATACGCCACCATAGGCTGCCAAAGGGGTTTTACAACTAGCTAGCAGATGATTCTTGTGCTTTCTGCAGCCTCATACTTCATATAACTACTTCCCTTACAACCCATATTCCATTGTGTGTATTTTAGGAAATTTTTAACCTAGGAGTATTCAATAAGTACTGTATTTCTCTTTTAGAAAACCATTTTTCCCCCTTTAAAAAGCTATACTTACCACTGCTTCTCCTTTCTTCATGCCAAAACACATAACCACCCCATCATGATCTCCAATAACCACCTGTAATGTGAGGGGAAATCTAAAATTACTATTATTATACCCTAGTAATTTGTACATGGAGAAAACAAGATTCTCAGTACGTAAATTATGATATTGAAAATAGAGATCAGAAAATCTAGAAAAGACACCCTCACAAAAGTTAATCCTCCAAAGAAAAAGTGCCAAGAGAAGGCTATGGAAAGCCATTACGAAAGTACTTGGCCACATATTTTATTCCTACAATGTGGATAGAACAAGAAAATACGGGCATAAATGGCCCAAGAAGTAATTTTTTTTTTCTTAACTGGAGCATAAGAACATTTTAAGACTAACTTTCAAAACAGATTATCAAATAAGGTTGTGACTGACCTATGTGATAATTTTTAAAC